AACTGACTTAACTTCAGAGTAGATAAGAAGTACTTTTTTTAAGGAGAAGCTGGCAGCTATCTAAATTGTTACAAAAATTATACTTTTTTTTTATGAAAATAAAATTGGGGATCTAGGAGTATTTGTTCCCACGGAAAAGAACATAGGTAGAGAATGATGGTCATACATATATGCTTTAATTTGCTTAAAAGGAAATATTAGCAGCCAAGAGTGAGGACAGCCATTTTTCATTTCTTCTTTTTTTAACACAAGAAGACTGAATCTTAAGTAGATTCAATAGTGGTACTGTTTTTTTCTAGGAGGAATGTCTTGATATTAAAAATTGTTTGGAACTAGAATTTTTTTTAATGGAAAGTTTCAAAAGGTTTCTTAGAGATTTTATGTGCGTTATTTTTTTAATTTTCAAAGAAAACATTTTCTAGTTGCTAACCCTGAAGAACATTTTTTTACAAATCTAGGATGATAAAATTCAAAGTCTCATGAACAAAAATCTTTTTTTAGAAAATGAAACTTACAATGTACCTATTGAAGCTTGAAAGTGATCTTTTTAGGGCAAATAGAAGTTATATTTTCCATTAAACTGCATTTCCTCAGTTTTTTTGTTAGAAAAATAGATTTAGCAGTGTGATTTTGAATGAGTGAATGTTTTTTTGACTCATGATGAATTACATGGAAAGTTAAATCTGATATCATGAATTTTTTTTATCTTTTGAGTTTTCCCACACGCAAGATTACAGTATTCCAAATCAATTTTAGTGACCTATCTTCATTACACTATCACTTTCCTATTTAAAAGATTGACATTAATGCTGCAAAAGAAATTTTAAATAGTGAATAAGGGAATATGTCTTTTTTTCAGTTTTCTAAGACAGTCCTTTGTGATAGCTTTCCAATTCCAATTCTGTCTTCCGTCAAGACATCAAATGTAGATGAAATAATCAAAAATAGAACTTTTTTTTCTATAACAAATTTGCATTATTATTAAGAAAAAGTTATTATTTCTTTTTTTCATTCAGGCAAAATGGACCAGACTCCCAGTTTACCATTATTCTGGATCGAAGATTGGATACATGGTCTTCTCTTAAAATCTCTCTCCAAAAAATCTCAGTAAGTATCTATGCATTATACGATAACTTTTTATTTTTGTTTTATATTTTTTTTTCTGTTTTGGGAGGTATAGATTACTTTGGTAGTGATGAAGACAATTTTTTTTGATGGAATATGAGGAGGGAAAGTAGAAGGAGAGGTTGTAGCAGACACTAAGATAAATAACTCTACCCAAAATAAAACCTAGTAAGAATGAGTGAGTTTTTTTTGGTTCCAGTTATGAGTGAGAAGTGATTCATGGTTCTATGTGCCTTTTTTTACAAGGCAAGTTTTTATGGAATCTTTTTTTTTTTTTTAGTGGAATTTTTTTTGTTGCATACTCATCGAATGTGAAAAAATATAAAGAAGAAAGTTTTTTTTTACAGTAATACAACCACCCCAAAATAAGCAGTTTTTAACATTTTGTTTTTTTACTTTCTAGATTTGTTTTATCCTAGGATAGGGTAGGGAAATGAGTCACATATAAAATGATGTATCTTCCCTACTGGTATCTAGTCCCCAGCTTCCCAAGACCCAGAGAGAGAAACATTTTCTCTAATTAAAACAATGAGAGGTACATTTTTTTCCATGACCAAGATAATCTTTTACACTTTTAGGCTCACAAGGATATTTTTTTATTGTTTGACACTTCACTTTCATAGATGAGGAGGGAGATGAGGAATCCCCGGACTCCTTCTGAGCTGGCAAGATTGGGGCTCTCTGTGGAAGTGCTTTTTTTCCAACTTCCTGTATCGGACTAGAATAGCTGGGAATCAATATATATTTTTTTCTTTGAGATTCCAACATTGCCAGCCATCTGAAATTCTTTATTATTATTATACTTTAAGTTCTTGTTAGGAGGGTACATATGCGCATAACGTGCGCAAGGTTTGGTTAATATGGTAATACTTGTGCCATGTTGCTGTTGCTGCACCATCAGGACTGCGTCAGCACCCAAGCAAGCTGTCTCTTTACATAGGTATTACTCCAATGCCAAGCCTCCCCTTTTGTCCTTCCTGATGATAGCCCCGGTGTGTGATGTTCCCTTCCGGTCCATAGTGATCTCATTGGTTCGAGTTCGCCACCTGATGAGTGGAGAACAGCGGTGTTTGGTTTTCTGTGTTTGTGATATTGTTTGCCTAGTGAATGGAGGGGTTTTCAGCTGCATCCATGTCCCTACAAAGCGACACAAAGTTCTCGTCCTTTTTTAGCTTGCATAGTGATTCCATTGGGTGTATATGTGGCCACATTTTCTTAATTCCGAGTCTGTCGACTGATGGATATTTGGGTTGAGTGCCAAGCGTTGCTATTGGGATAGTCCACGTGAACACGTGGTGGGTGTCGTATGTTTATGACGGAAAAGTTACTTCAAGATGAGAACGGAAAAGTTGACCCGAATGAGAAAAGGGTAGAGGAGAGCAGGTAGACCATTCAGACATGGAGGCGGGATGGGCCAAGACGGTCGTGAGGTTCGTAAAACACCACAAGAAGCAAACGCGCCAAAGCCAAAATTGACAATGGTGATCGTCTTTGAAGCTAAAGAGCTTGCACAAGAAGACAAGCTACATCAGAGTGAACAGGCATCCGCTACAGACATGGGGGAAAATTTTGCGAAGACTTCATCTGACAAAGGGATCGAAGAGTTATCCAGAACCTACAAAGAACTCAAAAAATTTACAAGAAAAAAACAAACAATCCCTCAAAAGTGGGGGCAAAGGATATTGAACAGCACTTCTCAAGAAGAGCTTCATACAGCCAACCAGGAACATGAAAAAATGCTTCATCATCATGGCCATCAGAGAGATGCAAATCAAAACCACACAATGAGATCCATCTCAGCACCAGTTAGGAATGGCCAATATTAAAAAGTCAGCGAAACAACAGGTGCTGGAGAGGGATGTGGGAGAAATAGTGACACTTTTATCACTAATGTGTGGGTTGTGAAACTAGTGTCAACCATTATGGACGAACAAGTATGGCGATACCTAAGGCATCTAGAACCTTGAGGACATATGACCCAGCCAGCCCATTTGTGGGTTACATACCACAAGGATTTGAACCATCTGAAATTTTCTTTGGGTCTCCGTGACTAATTGAGGAGTCTTAGGGGGGCCCACCACAAGAAGTTGATTTAGTTGCAAAGGCAAAACAAAAATCTAGGTTGTTGGACTTCCAAGCCAATGTTCTAGCACTCACAAGGTAAAATGAGTCAGATCATTATTCTTTTGATACCCAGAATGAATTATTTCTCCTTTTGGACAAATAAGCAAAAAGTGGTTTCCTGTTTATTTAACAGAGGTGTTTAATCATTAGCAGTAGAGACAGGAGTTAACATTAGATATACTCAAGTTACTAAAATAAAATAGAAAAACACTTGACTTTGTATAGCATATTTCTGCTTTTTCAAAAGCGTTCATGTTTATTAAGTATTGTTGATTCTCTTCATTTCCTGATTAAGTACTGCAGGTAGGTATCACTATAATTGTCTTATAGATGATGAAATCACATTATGTGTACTTTGGAATGGTTATGTGATGAATCCAAGGTCAAATATCCAAGTAACCAAAAGAGCCAGAGCAAGAATTGAAATGTCAAGAATTCCAGTTGGTGATGGTTTCTATTATTTTCCAACTGGCTTACAAATAGACAAATAAATTCAATGTTATTTAGAAAAATGTAACATTTCTTTTGAGAGAGTAAATCTGTCCTCCCTATATGATTGAGCCTTGTCAGTGGGGCTAAATAAAGTAAAAGCTATTTCCCATGCTCTGGTCTTTTAGGATTGGTCCTTGGGCTTGTTGAGTAGACCTTGGTTTATGCTAATAATTGCTTCTCTTATACTAAATAGAGCACTTGTTGCATTAAAACATTTTTTTATCACCCAAATTTTTTTCTTTTGGCCAACACTGCACCCACCTGATTAAATTAATTTTCATTTTGTGACTGGTTTGGCACATGACATTAGTTTTTTAGTAGAGTTTTATTTTTATTATTCAAAATAGGTGGCTTGTAACAGAGGTTCTATTTTTCATAAAAGACAAATATAAGATTAGGTCATGATCCTGTCATTTTGAAGTCAGCAGAGGGTAATTACTTACTTACTGGAGAGTGATACTCCTCTTTCTGTATTCCCAGGGCTGCTTTCTCAGTGGAGAATTATGACCTATGCTCAGTAAAGAACTTGGATCTCAGGGTCCCTTTATTTTCATAACTGCCAAATTGATCATGCTAGGCAAGGGAGGGGTGCAGATGCTGACCACATGTAACTGGCTATAGGTTGTTTTAGAGGTTTCTTTTTAAACATGTTAAATGTTTTTGCTTGTGGTATAGTTTCTATACTCATACTCAAGAGCACATTGATTACATCTCAACCATTAATAACTATTGTTTGCTGTTTGAAATAAAGGTAAATATTGAATGCAAGCTAATTTCAAATGCAAAAGTCGGCATTCAGAAAGGATTTCTAGTGAAATCTATCATCGTGTAGCTAGGTATAATTGCCTGTGGTGTATTATTTCAAACAGTGTCTGTGAAATAATCATACAATTCAATTTGAATACCTTTATTTGTAGATTTCAAATCAAATAAAAGCATTTAGGTTGTATTTCATAATTAATGAGAGGAGACTTTATTTTAGGTATACATTTTGGGGAAAGGTTAATTTAGGAGAGAATCGTATCCACCTTAGAGAGTTTGCGTGTTCCATTCTTTCTAGATTATTATCAGGACAAAATTTTGCAAACTATATCCTTTTATAAGGCTTAAACCCAGAATATAATTTAAGAACAGAATAAACAAAACAGAATTGAAATTTAAGTCACATACCAGGGTAGGATGAGAGTAAAAAGCAAGAGTTAATACTACCTTCACAAAGATTCTTAACATTCCACCTTAAAAATCAAACTGCACAGAGGAGAAAGCCAGTCCCATCAAGCCTGCTCCTAGGAAGAGAGCTGGGTTTTTTTCTCCTTCTTCCACTCTTAGGACATGCCTGATCTTCTTGAGCAGTCCAGCACAAGCTAATCCACAAGGGTCAATCAGGCTAAGTAATTGGAGGAATGTGTTAACTCTGAATTACAACGAGCAGAAGGGAAGGATCTGTCAGCTGACTAATCAGGGATAGTGCTTTTTTTTTTTTTTTTCTCCCCAGCGCTGCTGCCGCTGTGCTAATGGAAGCAGCTACGGCAGCTTTGTTTGATAGAGATTTTTGGCTGCCGTTTTTAAATACTACCCAAGAAGCAGCTCATATTTCATCAATGTTGCATTGACAATTGGAAAAGAAGAGTGTAATTGTGTATAGGCGAAATGGCAGAAGCAAATCCCCCGAGAGGCAAGATGAGGTTCAGAAGGAATGCGGTAAGGGCTCTGTCTGCACTCCTGGAAAGCCTATTCCCAAGTTCAAGTGCTGGGATGCTGCAGCATGGTGCTATAGCACAAACTGCTGAGTGGGATTTTTAAGGACAGATGGAGAGAATGGAGACTTATATTTGCATGGATTGCATTGATGTGATTACTGTGATACTGACATAGGGTAATTTTCAGGCAATTGAGGGGGTAGAATATAATTTCAAAATCTAAATGTCATCAAGTTTATGAATGAGCACCTTAGTCATGTTATTCATTTAAGACTGCATGAACAATTTTGAATCATTGGACAGCATAGCTTTAAATCATGACTTAAAACAATATCTAACAAAAGGATTAATCCTTTCTTTCACCATGATAAAGTAAAGTATATTGCCATGGATAGGTCTGGAAGTGATTCCATCATCACTTAAAAATACAGCCTTTCCTGGGTGTTACCGTGTAAGTGAAAAAATTTAAAATCTGTAATGATTTGAAATCCTTATTGTTTCAATTATTTTCCAAACTTAAACTTCATAGGTACAAAATTGTCACCTGCTGACAACTTTTGTCTTTTAAGGAAAAAGACGGTAACTCACTTATCAATATAGACTAGAATTTGGAAATCTCTCCTCTCAGGTACATTTCATGCAGTCTTTTACCTAAATTTTCCCTTCATTCACTTATTCATATGGTAAATTCCCAGCAAATTTCTAATGTGATCTTTAGATGTATTTTGGAGAAATGTTGAAATAACACTAGCTAATTTAATAAAAAACCAATCATTAAAAAGGCTTTAAATGCCACTCTTTTTCTTTCAAAGATTAATATAATGTAATTGATATTATGGTTTAAAATATAAACTTGCTCACTAATAATATCGAGATAACACACACACACACAAATAAGAAGGTAAAAATTGACCTTAGGAAAAAAAACGACAGTTTGAATTAAAATTATGATAAGGAAAGTAAGACTTTTATTATTGTTGAATGACAGTGAACATCCATAGGTGTGTAAATGATTTATTTTCTAATAAAGCTCTTAGCACAGACTGCTATTTTAAAAACTATAGTTGGTTTTATTTTGACAAAATTATGTCTTTGGCTCCATACATGTTTTTATATTATGAGAATATAGGTTCAGACTTTTAACAGACGATTTATGGTGCACAAGCAATGTTTGTGTATGTACTTTGCAGTATTGTAAGCAACTGATATTAGCACTTTTGTTATCAAAGGTAACTTCAGCTTTCAGAAAGTTTCTAATTTTATATATATATATATATATATATATATATATTCTTAGTGCTGAACTTAGTTTCATGTCTATACACATGCATTAATATACACACAATAAATACAGCACGGGGTACTCATTGAATAGACATATGTAGCACTGTGATATATACAACATAAGTTACAAGGGTAAATATGGAATGGCTACTGGGCTGAAGGAACTCTCAGTCTAGTAGAAAGGGTAACACATGTTCGTAAATGACTATTTTGAAAAGAAATTCTGACTGGTGGAGAAGGCCTTATACAGGAGATGGCATATGTTTGGGTGTTAAGTAAGAGCATATGTAGCTGTTACCTTTCCTTGATTCTTTCCTATGTTTTTATTTCTCATAAATGAATTAAGTGAGGCCTAGGAACAGATATGAGTGGGATTAATTGGATTAATTCTGAAACCTAGAACTATAAGACATATATGTTTTGCTTATATGGATAGGACTTGACCAGAGTAAAGAATTTGAACCTTAGCTAGTAAATAAATGGTTTCACCTTGAAGGGTCTCTGGAACTGGACTGATCCTGGAGGCTATGGATAAGTAGCATCTAAAAGGATGGTCCAGTGCCATTTGAAGTCCAAAAAAATGTTTGAACTAGTTACTTGGTAGAAATTTCAATGACTGTAGCTGAGTGAGAGAGAGGGGAGGAGAATAGATATATATGTGACAAAAAGAGCAAACCACAAGGAAGGAGTACTGCTTTGGGCTGTCCTCCTGGGGTCACTTGACAAGTTGCTTGGCAACTCATACTGTCTGTACTTTTTAAGGTGGGGATATGGGAGGAAGAGTGTGGAAGTGGCTCATACTGTTGCAAACTATTCTCTATAGCTTGAGGTCATGAGATTTTTTTCCCCAACATATTCTGCAGAGATGGTTCAGACCTTATCAAAGTCAAGTGCCTGTCAACATTTGTCTGATAGTAGATAAGAATACTTTCCTTTCGGTGGACTGTATATGCAAAATTGTTTCCAGCAACTTGTTTCAAATGTTATTTGTTCCATTTTGGAAACATCAAGGTCAAATCATCCCTGAATGGCAAACAGCAAATCTGAGTGTGCATTCAGTCTATGAAGTGTTAAGTGTGTAGAAAGAGTTTGCCCTTAGGATCCAGACAGGCCATACTACTGCTGCTTACCAACTGTGCTTCAGTTTGCTCCTCTGTAAAAAGGGAATAATATCTAGTTTACTGCAATGTTATGAAGGCTAAATTTTATATATATATATATATATATATATTTATATATATATATGTAAGAAGTCTGACACATACATAATGTCTTTTAGTCAAGGGTCTCTCTTATTGTTACTGCCTTTCTTTACCCTAATGATTAAAAAAGAAAAGTTATAGGAACATAAATTATTCTTATAGTAAGTAACCAAACGTTTATGTTTTATAAGGTACTTTAAAGATTCTAGAAGTGATAACTAGAATAACTGAAAAGTGTGCCTAGGGTGATGAATTGCCTCCCTTAGAGAGCACACACGAGAGTATTAAACAAGGTTAATTTCTAGACTTCGGTAGTGAAATGATGTATTTGGTTTATGCCTGCTCTTGTTGTTATTGTTGTTGTTACTGCTGTAAGATCATAGAACTAGGCAATCTGGCAGTACGTGTGAGTAAAAGGGAGTGAATCTGTTCTCTGGGAGGGAAAGATGAGAGGGAGCTTATTTTGTGCTCGTTACCTTGAAGAGCCAGTAAGAGCTGCTGCTGAGGGTTGGGGTGGGACCACGGACGGTGATTGGACACATGGCTCCAAGTCCTATGTGATAGGCAGCTCGTTCACTTTTACTGAGATGTCTTTAAGCAGTCGTCACATGCTGGAGCTCCAGAAAAATGTCTGCAAGAAGCTAGAACCAATGCTGTTTCCTCTCTCGTGCACGCTATTTTTTTTAAAAAAGCAAAAAACACATTGAAATAAAACAAGACTAACCTTTGCCCAAACCCCTTTGTTTTTTTGACAGGTTCTCAAAAATGACTGATACTTTCAAAATCTCAGGTTTGATTTTCGGGAAAAAGAAATGGTGCTTTTTCATGTTTATATAACCATACAGATGAGAGGTTCTTAAAGCAGCATGCCCAAGAATTTAGAAATAAAATATTGCCAAGCCAAAATGGGAAAATTCACTGGTCTTGAGCTATATTTGCTGTGATATGTGCATCTGATACCCTATGCTGTTTGATTGTTCATTTAAATACTAGCTTTAAGATGGATTATCTTCAGACGTTTAGTTATTACAAATATTGGTATATAGAGAAAAAGTACTCTCTCTATATACCTATATGTGTATCCACATAGATACGTACAAACTAATCTTAAATTTATATGGCTTGTCAGGTTAAAATTGCTCAAGCGTGTTCTATCCCCTCTAGATTCTCATAGCCAGCAATCACTGATAAGGACGTCTCCATATTATTTATATTGATCGATGTTCAGATCTATGAAGCTTTTTGGTTCAGAGGTTGCAAATTGTCAGTGCACAGATGTGTTTTGTTTAGACTATACAGCATTTTAACGAACTTTCAATTTGTTTTCAATTTTTAAACATCTGGGCTTTGCATGACAATCTGGATTTCTGTCTTCTCTTGAGAAACCAAAGAGTTGGCAATGCTGGGCCCACCTTGCCACATGACAACATGTAGCTGGAACTGATTTATGAGTGAACTGACTTATGAATGCCCTCTGCTTTTCATGTTCTGCAGTTCACCATGGTTCCCACCACTTCCTGTTGCTCCTCATCATATAGGAAGAGTGTGAATTGCTATTTTCCACCTAATTTAGGCTGTTCGTTAATTAAGCCTACTTCACATTTATATTATCTATGTAATACATGGTAGGCATTAAAGTTTGTCACCTTTGCTTTAGGTCTCAAGTTTAGATTCTCAACCAATCCAATCCTTGTATCATCCCTGTTATAACTTCTCCAAATGCCTCTTGTTGACTGAGTCTAGTTCTACAGGCAGGTGAATCGGGGTTTTAATTCTGCTACTTATGTGCTAGAAGGTATTGAAAAATTGCCTGACCTCACAAAACCTCAATGTATTAGTTCCCTATTGCTGCTGTAACAGATTACTACAAACTTAGTGGCTTAAAACAATAAAAATGTATCATTACGGTTCTGGAGGTCAGAAGTCCAAGATTATCCAATTGGGCTAAAAATCAAGGGTCAGCAGAGCTGTGTTCCTTCTGGAGTCTCTAGAGGAGAATCTGTTTCTTTGACTTTTCTAGCTTGCAGAGATTGTCCACATTCCTTGGTTTATACCCCTGCATCACTTTGACCTCTGCTATCACATCATCTTCTCTGACTCTCCTGCCTCCCTCTTTTCCTAATGATTACATCGGTCCCACCATGATAATCTAGGATAATCTCCCCGTATCAAGATCCTTAATAACATTTATAAAGTCTGTTTTACCATATAAGATAACATATTACTAGGTTCCAGGAATTAGGATGTAGACATCTTTGGGGATAATGGCACTCAGTTTCTACAGTTGTGAAATGAGGACAAAAATAGAACCTACTGCATGTAAATACTTAGCACAATGTCATAATAGTGCTCTTCATGGGCATAATTCTAGTAGTGTGCATTCAATAAATAACATTTCCACCCCTGTCCAACCATCCAATCTCCTTTCCCTACCTTAAAGCTTTGAGAGGTCCTGAATGTATACATATACATAAATATATGTATTTTTTGCTAAAGAGAAGCTATGAAAAGTAGT